ACCTTAGGAACCACAGGGGGTGTGAACTCAGTCTCCATCATGAGACACTCTAACTCATTAGGTGTGGGAGAACGTGTGCTCACTGCTGAATGCAGCGTTGACTTTAATCATGACCAATTACAGCAGCACAGTCTGACAAGACCCCCCCCCCCACACACACACACACACACACACACATAAATCATGAAGAAAAGCAAAGAAAAATATCAGCTTTGAATGTTTGCCTCAAATTGAATCCTGAAATAAGTCGTCGGAGAATTATTACTCTCCATGAGACACAGCTGATTATCCCACTGAGCTCAAATGGAAATATTCCTGAATGAGAACAAAGAGATTTCATGGCAGCTCCATCACAACCACACACACACACACACACACACACACACACACACACACACACACACAAACATGCACGAAGGCAGCGGTCCCATAGGACATCCACAGAAACTCCCTCCAATAAAGAGGATTATAGATTTTGCCCTGTGCACCCAAGTGTTTCCAATGAAATAACGGCCTCCTCCTGCATAACTCATTACAATTTAAACCATCCCCCCTTTCAGCTGAATATCACCGAACAGCTCAACACACATTACAGCCTATGCATGAAAAAATGTGTGTTTGAGACAATTAGAGAGGAAGATAAGAGAAAGTGTGAGTGAAAATGTGTTTTTATCCTCCGACGCCCTGCAGGCTCAGTAAGTGGTAAAAAATTTCACATTTACTCACACTGACACACACACACACACACACACACACACACACACACACACACACACACACACACACACTACATGCTTGTTAACCATGTGTGAAGCTACAGATAGATATGCAAGTGGAAGAACTATCCTCTGATAATAAGCTATGTGCTAAAGATACAGGTTAGAATAGATGATGACGTCATAGTTTAGAGGTTAAACTCATTATTGACCAAGTCAAATACAGACTGAGCAGAATGTAAATGAAAATGTGTTTTGAGCATAAAGTCTACGAAGCGAGGCTGCATCAAACCAAAGCTAACTGCCTCCTGTCAGCACCCTAGACCAGACCGTCACATTGAGTAACCATGACAGCCATATCCATTTGATGCCTTGGGAAGAAACAGAGGAAAATTGCTGTTTGTTTTTATTTATTAAATAAATCAAGAAAGTCTGTTTTAAACAGTCAGAGTTCTTAAAGAGCAAGTCACCCTCCTACCAGAGTTTTACTCCACCCACACTTGCTGGTTGAAAAATTCACCACACTGATGGAGAATCAGAAAGACAGAGAAGCAGCAGCACATTTCATAGTTGGGAGGAATTGTCTCCTTCGCCAGAGGAAAGGGAGGAAGTATTTATTTTTGAAGGGACAAGCGGTACTGAGCCGTATCGTTACATATCGGCTTCTGAGTGGCCGAGCCAGCTGGTGGTGTAGGCACTGCTATCACGTAAGATGGTACCACCTACACCACTGGATGCCACTTAGCCAATTGACCCTTTGCATTTGACGTCACACCGCTCATGGGACCACCCCTTTATCCATGATGGATGGTGGAAAGACCATTTACACACAGAAAATCCTGGGAAACTAGTCCAAAAAAGCCAGTTTGTAGCATTTAATCACTTTAATTGAGTTGATTTGGCAGTGAAATGGTAACAGTTTGCTGTGCGGTTGGCTGCACACAGACAAGGGTGTAAACTCAACTTGTCTTTTTTTTTATTAACTTTGATGGAGACCAAAGATGGAGATGAGCCGTCACGGTAACGGAGCAGCAATCAACGTATTTACAGATTTGCATTGAACACATTTTACTGGATAAAATCAGCGTTGGTACATTTCATGAGGAAGACGGGGACTGACTGTGACGGAGCTGAAATGATAAATGGGATGTGTTTATTTTATTTAGTATTGATGATCCTACATTTCACCATGGAGGGTGTGCGGTACCGTCCATTGTAGTAAAATGCGAGATGATTATTTATTATTTAGCATGATGAACGTCACTGTCATAAGATATCGTGTGAGAGTAGCAACTGTACCCGGTGACAGTGGGGAACCTGGATTAGTTTTAGTTTCATTAATTAGCTCCAGAGTAAAGTGAAACGCTGTTTATGTTAATGTTATAAATCCAGCGGGGGGAACTCTGGCAAAGTCGACTACTTGTTTACATCTGTGAACAGCAGCTAGCCCCACCTAGGTGTGCTAACTCTTCCCACAAGGTAACTGGGCTTCAACCAGTAGAAACCAGGCTAAACTGGCAAAAAACAGCCTCGGTCACCGCTTTTCCTCTCCCTTCAATGCTGCGGTTTGTCATTATTGCCGTCCTCCGTGGTGGATCCACGTGATCAGGTGGCGTATGCAAGGGGTCAGTAATAGTGCGTTCGATTTGTCCTCGGAACTCGGAAATCCCCACCTCCGAGTAGGAAAAATCAAATGAAACGCCCCCCCACATCGGATCTCCCAGTCGGAAACTCGGAAAATTTTCACAACCCCGACTTCGAGATCCAAAATGGCAGCTCTCCGTATCAACAACAGTAGTTTTGATTGAAATGCGTTTATTTTACAAGACACACTTATAAGAGTGCGTCTAAATCAGTGTTATATGTAGCACCTGCAACTCCAAGCTGAACAATCTAAAAGTGTTGTTTTAGATCGTCTTTGTCTCTCTTCGAATATTTTTTGAAGATGAGCTTTATGTGTGTTTATGAGTCGTCTGTGTTCGTTTTCGAGGGCGTTGCCATATTGGAATCCCGACTTCTCCGTCTCCAGCAACCAGAACGCTGTTAACTCGGGTGTGACGTCATTCCTAGTTCCAAGTTTCGACTTCCGAGGAAAATCGAACGCACCGTGACAATGGCTGATTCAAATGTAGAGCAGACTTTTAACCTGAAGAGGGCGCGACACCTGCAGTTTTAGGTAGAAGATTTATATTTCAAATGCGATAAACTTAAATACCAAAATAAAGACTGCACATGTGTACAGCACTATTAGACACTCGTCTACACAACTCATCATCACAATAAAGCTGATTTGGGGGCGATGGCATTCTCTCACCAGCTAAACTCAAGCTAGAAATTTTTACATTTAAACTTAAAGCAAATTGATCTTAAAAACAAAAACCTTCAACACCTTGAGGAGGTGCTAAAGTTTCTAACTTCATGTCTCCTACAAACATAACGCATGCCTGTTATTTAATTGTACTTAATCAAATAAACCTCTTACAATGACTTTTTAGATATTCTGTTTGCACCTCTGATGAAAAGGCAGACTTTGTCATGATGCATTATGTGTTTTATCTGGGGTCAGTCGTAAGTGTTGACTGCCAGAGTTTTATTTTGAAAGGATTACAAAGTGGAAGCCAAGGCGACAGGTGAGCAGCACATTTAGTGGGGGAACAAACTGACTACACGACAGTTTACAGGTTCTGAGGTTCAGACTCTGGGCTGTCAAAGAATCACTTCCAGTAAAAATATCTCTCTGACCACGCCTCGAACATTTCCTGCTCAAGTAAAGAGAGCCAAGTGGTCCAGGGAGATTTTCCAGCCAGTGGCTAAAGGACCTGAAAGGCATTCGGTCTGATGTTAGGACCTGTTAAAATACAGGTGTAACGGAATGAAATAACTGTTTCCCCCTCTCCTCTGACACAGGACTAGTCTGCATGAGATATGGCCTCAAGGTCTCATGCATTTGCTTCTAACCTGCTTCTTTTCAGCTCAACAGAACAATGAAGAATGGACTCTTTTATTTTAATTAATCAAAGAACTCTATTTAATAAGCTAATCACGCAAAGTGTTAGTCTATAATAAGATGTGACCAATCTGTGAAATCAAAATATTAATTACTTTATTATAATCCTATAGAATATAATGAGTAATATGACTTTAAATTTTTCCACTAGGACTGATCTCACGTAGCGTTAAGAGACGACACATTACTTTCACTGATCCAATCAGAGTCTGCCAGATCTGATGGAGGCGTGGTTTTGGTGGTGTTTGGTAAATCTGTCATCTTTTCATTCGACCATAAACCAAAACATCTGAAGTATAAAACTATGCCCACGTCATTTTCAACGCCAGTTCAAAGCGTTCTAGAGAAGTTGTCGGAGTGGCCAATCCGTAACTTTCCTCTTCAACCAAAAGAACCAACGACAAGCTGGATAAAATCTGTTGCTGTTGCAACTGCTGCACCGGTTCCTTTCAGAATAAAAGCTGAACCATCACGACCCAGGTTTGGGTCTTGTTAGATGCCAACAAAACTGTCGTGACCCGGGAGTATCTCAAAGACTGGTCTGGTCGGCAACCGCTGCTTTTCCTACCGGATTTGGTTCCAGAAAAGGTCAAGCTGGACCTCGGCGTTCCTGATCTAGACGGGGACTTTCGCTAAGGGTTCGTAGACCAACAGAATGGCATCGAATGTGTTTATGAATCTCCTAATCAAAGCTTAATGCGAAGACATCACCTTCAGTTCCCATCAGAACTAATCGTTTCTTCGGATTTGCTGGTTCTGAACAACATTCCACACTACACCATTCTCCGTCTCATTCACTTTAGTTACACCATACATTTAGTGTTAAAGTTAGTCTAGTTTAATTTGTCTTTAATAAATCGTTAAACTTTTAAACTTGACTCTCTTCTGTTGTCTCTGAGAGAATACGAAGCTGTTATCTAATCCCTGCATTAAACAGTTCCAATCTTCTGGTTAAAATAACCCAACAGATCCATAAGGTTGATTTCATATTTCCTATGGAATCCTACGCCTTATGGCTTATTAAATAACATGTAATTTAAATCATTACACAGGTTTCTTTAATCTAGTTAGCAAAAACCTCCCTGGAGATGAATTGAAAAGACCCAGATGTGGGACAACAAGGGACGAGAAATCCAGAGGTGGATTAATAAAGACAAAGCAGGAAATAATGAAACAAATAAGTCTCTAACAGGAAGAGTGTGTGAAGGTGACGAAGGTAAAAACAAATTACTAAAATAACTAACCAGCAATATCCTTCAAACGGCTAAAATACTCACCCTAAACAGTCAGATGCATTCTGGCAAAGCTGTTTTCATCCTGACTTCCTCCGTTTCTCTCAGCTCAGAAACATCCCAGAGCTTCTACACACTCAAATATTTTAGTGTTTAACCTGCGAGTGTGTGTTGAGTTCCAGTGGTTCGTCAATGCAGCTCCACTTAGTGAGGTGTTACACACACACACACACACACACACACACACACACACACACACACACACACACACACACACACACACGAGCTGCAGAAATGTGATTCTGTTGCTTGGCAACATTGAAACTCAAAGATTTGTAAGATGAAGTGAAGGTGAGTAAAACCCCCTGCCATCTTTCTCTCCCTTCACTTCCTCCTGACTCCGCTGAGCTGAATCATCCTTCATATCCTCACCGTCTCCGAGCTTCTGTCTGAAAAAGACGAGATAGAAATTACCTCACAGATCTGGAGGCTTCTCAGCTGCCTGGAGAATTTTACATTTTATTTATTTACTTATTTATCTGTGCTTTTTCTGTGAAATAAAGAGGACTTGTGGTCTGTCTGAGTGCCTCTTAGCCATGCCCTACATACCACAGACAACAGGACAGAGACCAGATCCCTTTAACCTCCATGTTTTCCCCTGCAGCAACTTTCCTCCTCACTTCTAAAGGCTGAGAGATGAACTCTGACGTCTGACCAGTTCAGCCGTGACATTCTGAGCTGCACACGAGGACAACCCAGATGGAAACGGGTTTAGGATGCAGAACCGGGTTTAGGGATGTTGAATGTGTTTCATCCATCCATTTCAAACTGTTTTCTCCTCATAGGGTCACAACTAGGGATGGGTGCCTTTGACATTTGAATCGATCCGGTACTAATTCCCGGTACCTAGGAATCGATACTGGTACTTAACGGTACCAATTTTAGATACTTTTGAGTGTTTAATATTTTAATTCTTTTTTATAATTAAATATATATTTTTCTCAATTTATAACCATATTTGATAAATATCATGATAAATAACATACAACTGTTTGTATTTTAACATCGTCCTTGTAGTTTTATAAGCTGATAATTAAACTGAAGCAAACATCTTTACTGTGAACTAAATTTACTGTGTATCTTCATTCCTTTTGCCGTCCTTTTTCTTTTAATTTTTCCTACTGGGAAGCTAGAATTTCCGAGGAGAAAGCGAACGCACCATTAGCTGATAACAATGGTGGCAATGGAAGCTAACATATCAAGCTAACGTTATCTTAAACAGTTTATTTAGCTGCTGGAGCAGATTAAAACAATGATGCCTCACACTTATATCGTTGTCGCTGGTTTCATCTTCACCCAATCACCCGTCGCATTAAGTAAAGTGAAGCCAAACTTTAGAGTGTGTTCATGTTCTTCTAGTCGGAAATTCGGAGTTCCGAGGAGAAAGCGAACGCACCATTAGCGGAACGGAAGCTAACATATCAAGCTAACGTTATCTTAAACATTTTATTTACCTACCGGAGCAGATTAAGATGAGGATGTCTCACTTAGATCGTTGTCGCTGGTTTCATCATCACCCAGTTACCCATCACATTTAGTGAAGTGGACCCAAGCTTTAGCGTGCGTTCTTTCTACCATGCTGCTCTGTTTACAACTCACTCGCAGCGACCGACGACATAACGCTCTTGCGCATGCGCAGCTGTCTAGGCAAGTTCTCGTTATGAAGGACGGGTACCGAAACGAGGCACCGTTTCAAATGACGTGAATCGGTGCTCAGACGGTACTATGGAATTCGGTCGGTACCTTAAAAAGTACCGAATTCAGTACCCATCGCTAGTCACAGCAGGTGTTCAACTTCAGCAGCCACCAGGTGAGAGGTACCAGTCCACTACAATGACACACGTAGACAACATTTTACAGTCTCCAGTCACCCTAACACGACGGTCAGCCCGCATGTGCACGGGGAGAACATGCTAACGCCACACACAGGCAGGATTCGAACCGACAACCTTCTCGCTGCAAGACACAGTGCTACTAGCAGCGCCACCATGCAGCAGACAATTTGCTCATTTCATGCTAAAATCCAACTTTAAACCAGGGGTGTCCAGACTTTTCAAAGCTATCTCTAAACTCGTAAAAATAAACGTCGTTGAGGACCGCAAACATGATCAGTTATAGGTAGAAATTAACGTAAACTTTTTTTATTTGTACCGCTCAAAAAGGGCATAGACAGAAATGATAAAAAGTGTCTAAGTCCACAGCCTGGTGGACAGACGAAAGTCCACAATAAACATGCAGTCAGGGGCCACACAAAAGCATCCTGAGGGCCACAAATGGCCCCTGAGCTGCACTTTGGACACATCTGCTTTAGACTCTTTCTGCACATGCACAAAGGAAAAATCTGTTTTTCCATGAAAAAACGTTAACCAATAAACTTCCCATCTGCAGCAGAGCCAGGGAGAGGCTAGCAGCTAACCTGAACCTGACAGGTTAGCTCAGGAAGCACAGCCTGCTGCTGCTGCTGAGGTGGCATCTCTTCTGCTGCATGCAGGTCTCTCCAGAGCTGCAGAACATTCACACTGGAGTCTGATCGTGCTGGCACTGAAATCATAATGTGGACAACCAAGCAGAAACACTAAATCTGAGGGTTCAAACCTGCAGAAGGAAGGTAGACTCTACCAGACTTCTAGCTTGAGAGTTTCCTGCAGTGCAGCTGTGTGCTCCACAGGACACACCGCACATGGTTTGACTGGTTTCTGTTCCAACAGGAAGAACCCCCCCCCCCCCCACACACACACACACTCACATTCTCCACCAAGCCTCTAATTTTCCACCTCTGAGTCGTCATCAGCTGCAGGCACACCTGTGATCAGAGGTTGAAGCACACCGCCTGGAGACATCTCCACAACACACACACACACACACACACACACACACACACACACACACACACACACACACACACACATCTGGCTGTCCTTAAGCGTCCTTCATCAGGCGGTGATCCTCATGTTGCTTCCATCCTCAGCATCACTGCTGGGGATCGGCCAGAGCTGGATGCTCTGCTTCTCTGCAGAAACGTGAATATCGGTTTTCTTCAGCTGTTGCTTCTCCAACAGAATAGAGCTTTTTTTTTTTTTTTTTTTTTTTTACTTTTTCTGTTGTTTTAAACCCTGATGTTGCACCAGTCAGGCCATTAAAGCCAGTAGTGTCGTGTGAGTGTCCCAGCGCTCCTGCAGGCTGGCAGGCACTCATCAGAGTGAACGTTACAGCCGGTGGAACCACAGCTAGGTGTTCATCAGGGTGGAGGAGGAGGAGAGGTGCCCCTGCTATCGGTGTAGCGGAGCGTTTTTGGCAGCCTGCAGGCAGCTTGTTCCCTCCATTGTCCCCGCTGCTGGACGGTGTAATTATCCGTCTTCTCTGTCCACAGCAGTCTGCTCTGTAATGAAGGCTCATTCCTCACTGCTGTCAGTCTGATGGCTCTGCAGGGTGTGGTGTGCTCGGTGGGCTTTATACAGTCATTCTGATCAGAGCCGAACTCGTGCTGCCAAATATGTTTTGACAGAACACAACTGGTGCAGTAACAGCAGGGGTCGGCCAATTATCTGCATGAATGAGCAGCAGATTCAATTTTCATCATTTCTCCAGTTATGGAATCGCGACTTTGTCTGATCTGATTTCTGATTAAATAAGCTAATTGAAAATGTGTTTTTGTGCTTCGGCCTGCTTGTAGCTTGTCTCAGCACGCCCCTCCTGCAGCATCTGATGGAGTGATCAGTGTTTATGTGGAAAAGAGGGACGCAGGGGGAGCTGTTTCTATCTCCTGCGTGTAGACACACAGTTGATGTGTGTTTTCTGTCTCTAACTGGCTCTTGTGTACTTGTTGCCCTTGTTGCTGCCTCTGAGTCCACATGAGTGAACACAGCTGCAGCCATGCAGGAGCACCATGAGGACAGGCACACACAAGGGCAGCCATATTTCACCCAGGATGATGAACGTTAGTTTAGATTCACTAAGAATCTGTTTCGGAGCTCGATCGGAGCTAAACATCTCAGAGTAGCTCCAATCCCGACAACTCCACCTCTGCTCGCATCCATCCACACAGAAATGAGACCATCCCTCGTGCAGACAGAGCCTGTGCACTCCGTCGCACTCTCGCCTCCACTTTTAAAGGCAGCGTGTGTGAGAAGGAGAGCAGACGATGGATTTTGTTTGAAGCAGCCATCTTAGCAAAGGGGAAAAGCAAAGACAAACACCCAGTTAACACTTGGCCCCTTCAGGAATCTTGAGCATCCATCCAGTGGCTGCGAGTCGCTGCAGCCAAGATGAATTAGACATGGAATGAAACCAAGAGGTAGTTTGGTTCAGGCCAGAGGCTGATGAATCCCAGAGGACGTGTTCTGCATCTGTCCCCATCACATATGGCGTTTTTAACTCGGAGCTGTGTCCTCTCCTGCACGTGACACTCGGCTCTCAACATGCTTTAGATTGGTTTGAAGTTAAACTCATAAAAACATACCAAACCTATTGTTGCACCTCTGGTGTCTCCCTATTAGAGCCAACGTAACCATGTGATGTGAAAATGACGAGGTTTATAAGTAACGATGCATGAACCATGACGAACTCCCGATCTGAGTCGGTTTGAGGCAGCAGGAATCTGCTCTGGACGTGGGCTCGTTCTGTTTCTTACATGTTGCTGTTATTGATTAGATCGATTATGACACGGCTAAGCAGCTGTTTGTCTTTTCAAATAAAAGGAAAAATGCGCATTTAGTTTAAAGGTAAAGGTACCTCTCAAACTGGCCGGAAGTGAATCCTGTTTCCTGCTGTTCTCTGCAGCATTCAGCACGTCATGTTTAGTGGAAGCATAGCCAGAAAAAGACCACACACACACACACACACACACGCACACACACACGCACACACACACACACACACACACACACACACACACACACACACACACACACACACACACACACACACACACACACACACACACACACACACACACACACACACACACACACACACACACACACACACACACACACACATACTTGCACCATTGTGAAAATTAGACAGCTCTTCAGTCACAGCAGCTCTTCCGGCTCCGGCTGCTACCTCCATCTCACTGATGGCCGGGTCGTCTTTGATGTGCATCCTGTCAGTGAACGCCCGTGTTTCTGTGTTAGTCTGGTATTCTGAAGCCAGTTACCCTAACAAACTGCAGAAACAGCATCAGATGCATGTGCTGCTGCTGTCATTAAACTTGGACATTTTCTGATTAAGTTACTCGGAGGTATGCACTATGAGTATTAACTATAATCTGCCTTTTTATTGCAGAGTTGCATGCAGATACTGCAATAGTTTATGTTTTATTCTACTTTATGGAAAAACTAGCCTTTTCATTTGTCAATTCTGTAAGAAGAATGCTCAAATCATAAAG